GAGCGACCGTGACGGCTTGGCGATCTCGGCTCTTCGCGCTCTCGATGGCCGATTAAATGAAATTCAGCGGCTGCACGACGCGCGATCACGCTCGCTCGCGAGAGATTTTCCCCCGGCTTTCCACGGCGTGCGCTTTCCGAGCGACATTCCTCAAAAGCCATCACGAAAATTCACTCTCGCCGCGCTACGCTAAATTTTCACCGGCGGCCGGAGAAAGGTACGCCTGCGGGTAAATCGGCCGTGCTGGTGAGCGCGCATCAGCACAGCCCCGCCGTTGCCCCCGCGGCAACGCGCTAATTAACCAAATCCAGACGTTAAAGCGATAGTAAATGTTTTACCGCTCCGAGGCTCGAGGAGGATTCAGCTCGAAGAGTGCCTGCGCACTTCCTCTTCTTTTCTCAATCTTCCGACTGAACTGGGCCATTGTCATCGGCGATATTGCGAATACTGAATTTCAACAGAAGCATGCGCACTTTTGAAACTACAGTTTGATATTACAGTTAGCAGATTGCGTATAGAAGATACCGTGTTCTTTCTCGCGAAACTCTTGCCGATGATTGCGGTGGGAAACGTAAGGCGAGCGACAAGTTGGGTGCGATATTTGGTCGTCGTTGTACCTTGAATCGAGAAGAATCAGGATGCCATAAAATGACGACGATGGTCACCGAATTGCTCAATCGGACCCGCGGCCTTTTACGATCGGGAAGGTTTAATTCTAATTAAACGTGACGCTCGACGCTGTAAAAATGCGTCGTTAAGCCCGGAAGATCGCCTCGATTCCACGCGTTCACATCGTCGCGATGCGACATATGTCGAAATTTTGGCCTTATGTTAAATCTTTAACTTCCTACAATGCAGTAAGAGCTAGGATAGCGAAATAGATTTAATTTCGATTCATATAATTTACATCTATTTTGGCCCTGATGATGTCTTAAATTTCCATTTTTCGCTGCTGCAGCGTTTAAGGTAACTTTAAAACATTTAAAATTAAATCCGTAGTTATAAGTTCAAGGGAGAAGCTAACAGATGTCAAAATAGGCTATTACCAGTCTGTGGGCTATCTAAATAGCGTAAGTTATCCTTAAAAGCACACTCAGAGAAAGAACTAGCCATGGGAGCTAACACAAAGGCAGCTAATGTCGTTGCTACCGCAGTTAATTTATTAATTCTTCGAATTAAGACATTACAACGAACAATATAGTTGCATCTTACAGCAAATACATCTTATCTCTAATAGTTAATGCTCTTATTTTAACCGCTACAGCTAGATTTTAGTTCTTTTGACTAATTATTTTTCTGAGTGCGCTCTTAAAGATAACTTGTGCTTACTCAGATGATCTATAGACTGATAACAACTTATTTTGACGATACTGACATTTTAACATCTCCCTTGAATCTTTAATTCTGCAGACTTAATGTTAACGTTACCTTGAATTTATTTGTCAGAATTTCGACTCGGGATTCTCCACGAACGTGTGTAGTTCTTCCGCGCGCAACGCTGCACACCGCCAGTCACTTACACTCTTCTCGTTCTTCCTCACCTCACGACGAACGACGATTTCATTTCTTGACGATCTGACAATCTCGTCTCGCGGGGAAAAGCGGAGAAAAACCTCGAGGGATTCTCTCGATGCCTGTTCGCTTGTTTGCTTTTGAGTCTGAGCGACGACTCGACGGCGTGAGCATCGGGCACGACTCATTACCCGGGGAATAGGAAAGTTTCCCATGGTAAATGTAGCGCGTCGCTGGCCTCCGCGCGCCGATATCATTTCCATAATCGTTACAATCGCGCCTTCGTAAAAAAGGAAAATTTCGCTCGACGCTCTCGTCTCCCCCCGCCACCCTTCTTTTCGTGTACTTCCCCCTTGCCCTCTCGAGAGAGGTCCCGCTCTTCGATGGAGCTACTCTTCTAGCCCCCGGCTGAGAATTTACCTCACGAAACCCTCGTTTGCGTTTAACACGAGGTACAAGCGAAAACGGGTACACAAAGAATTTTTCCTCCCCTTCCGCACACTCCGCTCCCTGCCTCTCAGCCCGCACCTACCCTCCTTTTTTATTTTCTTTGCGAGCGCGCGCGCGGGTCCCGCAATTACGTTCGCGCAATGAAAAGTAATTGCGCAACCCACGCTTCGTGACCTTTCCTCAACTTTGTTGGTAGGCCACATGCGCTCCTCAAAACACGCCGATTATTCCACGGCGCGGGAGAGAGAGAGAGAGAGAGAGATAGAGAGACGCGGATGAGGCTGAGGCGGAGAGTGGCACGCAACGCCGACTTGCCACGCTGATCACAGATGGAGGCACGAGCACCACGTGGACTTCGATTCTTCCACCCACCTGTCCTCTTTTCCCCCCTTCTCCTCATCTTTCTCATCGGTCCCCTCTCGCCGCTGACCGCCTCGGCCGATCGATCGTACACGCGTTTCATATTTACATGTGATTTTCGTACGCCTGTGGCCTTTGCAGGGTTGGACAGTAATTCACTAATTCAGTAAAAAGTTAAGTTAACAGTTAAACAGTTAATAACTTAATTAAGTTTAAATAAGTTAACTTTTAACTTAAACTTACCCGGGAAAAAAATATCATATATGAAATTTGCCCATATATAACTATATATGATCATATATTATGTCCACAACGAAAAAATACTGTTGTTTACAAATTATATGCAAATACAATCGAAGTAAATGCTTCTGGCTACTTGTGCTTCTGCTAGCACATGATATCGACGTTTAATTAAATAACATAACATTATTTTTTTCCGTAAATAGACATATATGATCATATATGTAAACACAATATAAGCAAAACTCAAATATGATTTTATATAATTTATATATAATTATATATAATTATTTTTTCCGGGTAGTTACTTTTTATGCATTAACTTTATTTAACTTATTTACTTTTTTAAATTAAGTTATTTCATATATAGCTTTACGTAATTAATTTTTAATTTTATTATTAACTTTTAACTTGTAATTTAAGTAGACATAACTACATTTTAAGTTAACTCTTAATTATATGTGTGTGTGTGTATGTATGAGTTAATGTTTTATTTATGTAACTTTTAACATAAACTTAGTTAATTTATAGCAATCAACTTTTTAACTAGAT